CTACAATATGGTATATATGCAAGTACATATATAGTATATATTAGTAATTCAAGATTGAATTATTTAAAGCAACGAAGATCCAGCTCCAACCGTAATAGGGCGTTACATTCTATTATTAAAACATTTAAACTTAGATTCTTATTCTCATTCTTACTCAACCATAATCCTACCGCTTTCAATCCTGCGACGAATTCAATACGATAATTACACAAACCCTAAGACATCGCTATGAAATATTATAATATTCTTTTATTCCTTTAAAATTCTGAACCTAAAGTAAATCGAAATCCCATCATTCCCATCACTACAATGTAATATCGATCCACCGCAATACACTATAATATTGTAAGCAACAAGAAAGATATTTATTCGACAATTAGACGTGCTACTCTTTATCAATCATTATGTACAATGGATCAGGCAGCAGCTACTCAGATGTAAAGCACCTCTAATTCCTGTAAATCACTAAATTATTAACCCTAATGACGATAATTATATTCTTTTCAATTTTCATATAAATATCATTCTCATATGAAGCGATAGTAGAATAAGTTAGCTACATACTGTTATGCCCGAGTTGTATCGTCGCCCGTTACACGTTTCTGAGGAATGAAGAGCGTGTCGCTTGGTCACGAGCGCGGTGTTGTTGTTAAACGATTTCGAGGAGAGTTTTCGTCACGTACGGATGTGTTTCTCTCTACGCAAGATATAAACGAGCTATTGGGCTGATTTGTATTTTATTAGTGCACTGTAACTGAATAAACATCTAGTTACCCTTTTTACTCTCGAGTACATTATTTCGGTGATTCGGGAGTGTGGATTCCGCGAGACGATTGTCGCGGACGAACGAGACGTACGGACGGGCATAACATTTTGGGGGCCCCTCCGGGATAGTGAAGTGCTGTGTTATGTACCGGTCACCGATCGCTACAAGGAGCGGAGCTCAACTTGTACAGATGGAGGAAGCGTCGGTCATGGCAACTGACCGGACGCCGGAGACGACGAGTCCGCGGGCTGCTCTGCAGGGGACAACTCCGACGTCACTGGCCCTTCAAGTAGTTCTTAGAGAGGTGCGGCAACTACGTGAGAAGCAGCGGCGCACGAGGGACGAGTACGCGGAGTCAACAAGACAGCGAGACGCAGAGATTAAATTGCTGCGAGAGGAGCTGCACACCATCAAACAGCTAAGTCCTCCTATTAATAGAAACATTGTCGCAGACGCGGGTGATTGTGGTCGCGCGCGGCTGAGTGATAGTTGTGCC